ATATTACATAAAAAGAGATAAAATATTTTTGACAATTATATTTTTTTCTTAAATTTTGTGTTATTATAATTGTAACTTAAACTTTAAAAATTACAAAATCTATAAATTCACTAGTTCTTTTAAGTTTTATTTTATATATCATGTAAAAAATATTTTTGCAAAGCAAATTTGTATCAAAATCTTAAGATTATTTGTACTAATTAAAATGGATGAGAAATCCGTAAATATTCGTAAATATCCGCAAATATCTATTTATTTTCCGGATATCCGTTTTTCCGGATATCCGTATTTTTTCGAAGCAAAGCAAATACCAAAATTAGATATCCGTAACATTCGAAGCAAATTACAAATACCTTAAAAAACCCGGATATCCGATCCGTGCCCACCCCTAGTTTTAAGTTCCATAATCAGATATTAATGCTGCGTCATTGGCATGGTATCACAATCAATGAACGAAAATTTAAATTGCTACAAAGATTGGCATTATACATACATCAATTACTTATTTCCTTATGCAGCAACGTATTCAAAAATATCCTCTGACGTTCCATGTAATACAATTTAGATCGCACATGCGTATAAGTATAAACTTAGAAATAAACATACACATAGATACGACGATATCCTCGTTTGACCAGTCAACTTCTGTGTCTTCCATAAGTCGACGTCGTTTCACTGCCAAGAGAACTAGCGTACCTCATGATATCAGCATTTGTCTCCTCTAGCTCCCTTTGCAGCTTCAAGACCTGTCTTTGGAGCACCGAGATGGCTCCAACGCAGCCGTACACTGGGTCTTTTAGCCGTGCCTCCGCCTCATAAGCCAGTGAGTTCACGGTGTCTTCTCGTTGATGTGGCGCCACCTCGTGGAGGATCTTGCTCACGTTGCTTGCTCCGAATATCCGGTGGACGTTCGCAAACTTTGTAGGTTCCTCTGGTGGAAAATATGGTGCGAACACGCAGTCTGATGTACATCTCCTCCGGAGGAATTTGCATGCCGCGCACGGTGAGTTTGTGTAGTTTGAATACGATGATGCCATTTTTGTTTATTTATCCCCTGATTTTTCATTCGTGGAAAAGAAAAAAACACTATAATCGTATACGCATATGTTTTGTTAATTGTTAGGAGATCTCTGAAATTATGCATCAATATCGTTTACACAAATAGTCTCATCATCAAAATTGGTTACAAGACTTATGATGTTCTTATTCTTTTTCTTCTTAAAGTTTATTTTGAACTCTTATGTTCTTGCTGCATTCAAATGTTGTTACCATTTAAATCATTATTAGAAATTTATCTCAAGCAGATATATGCGTATATTCTAGACATTCATTTACAATCAATTAGTTTTACATAGTATATTAGCACATCAAAATAAGATAATATCAAACATACTACATAGATTTATACTGCATAATTTTTTCTAATCAAAGTGTATTGGTGAATCTTACACACAGTACGATTATATAATTAGTTGTGTTAACGACATTAAACATAAAACAAATAAACGTCTAACATAATTTCCATACCTATATGAAGAAAATGGGTGTTGTCATATTAAATTCAGAGGTAACTCGGATCATGTACTTTTCAAATAAGAAAATAATTTGTTCCAACAGACATTAAATTCAAATAAGGAAGGTAGTAAGTATACATGATTACTTTTGTTCCACCAAATTTGGTAAAACAATTCAAATTTGAATTTGTCTTCTTGGAAAATTTTGATTAACTCATTTTATTTTAATTCGAACAAAAACACTATTGACCATACATTTTTGTTCTTGGCGTCAAGTTTAGCAGTTTTTCCTGATTTTATCCTCACAACACTCTCTGTCTCTCTGACTCTGCGCTTCCCACATCTATACAAACATGTATATGTTTTCTAGAATCTACGACCTAATTATGTAGCTTTATTATATACTTAATAAAGAAGTTTGTGTTATAGTATGGTCCCTTCAATATTATGAGAACTCACAGAATATAGATTTCACGTTTAGCTGTAACTTTTCGAAACTACATCAAGTTCAAGATCAGCGATCAAATCGGCATGATTTAAACTCTCTAATATTATAAAACCAACCAAACATAAAACTACAATATATATACTTTGCAAGTATGAGTATGTGTTAGTTGACTTAGTAGAATGAAACACTTTTGGTCTTACCTTATGATGGAGCAACAAGAGAAAGTGGCCCTTGATATCTACTCAGAATGGTTTAGTCTTCTTTGTTTCTCTCTTTTGTGTCTTAAATATAAGAAGGGATATTGAAATTTATGAAGAAGATTTTCAAGTATTGAGATTCTTTTTGTTGATTGTAGAGAGGAAACCCTAGTTGAAGACAAAGAGGAGTCTCTAAGGGGAAAGTTAGAGAGGGAGAAAGAGGAAAGAGAGGGGGCAAAAAGCATTTTAGTGGTATGAGCGAGAAAGAAGATGAATATAATGAGTTTTGCAAGAAGACAAATTAGCCTCAATTAATTGATGAGGACCTAAAATAGTGAACTAAACAGGAATAACTCAGAACCGTGGAAATTTTGTACTCCATAGAATAGGTTTACAGTAACTTATAACAGTTTATCAACGTATTTCTATTTAATTTGAAGAAAATATTCTTTTGTGTAAGTCACTACTAACATATACGAAAATTTCCTTGCAAGAATGTAGATAGTGACTGATAGTAGTAAGTAATTCACATATGGAAGTTTCAAAATATGGTACATTCGTCAAGGTGTCGTCCGATTCAAAATTGGACTAGCGCTTTGGACCATCTTATAGCTTTCCAAGTGTAAATTTTCCAACTTCAAGGCTCACTTAATCGCTTACTATTGTTTTGATTAACCTTTGACCTTTTCACTAGGTTTAGTATTCTGTAAAAATAAAAATAAAGAATAGTAAATCATTATTATGTTTGTGAAATCTTCGGCCCACTTCTGTCTCAAGAATTTAATACCAGAAGGCTTTGGGATACAAAATTACAAAGACATCAGAACTGTTGAGGATCAGAGTAAATCTGACATGTGTACTGTCATTTTGTTTGATTGAATTTAACTGTTAACATATAAGAGCATCAGCAACACCAGATTTTGAAGGAATCTACACACTAAAAGGTAAAATAGAAAAAGAATAAGAAAAGGAGAGAAATTAACCTAAAACTTGTTTGAAAGATTCGTTAATAAGCTTTCATTTTATTATTGGATTGATTTTGCTTCTTTTTTATCGAAATAAGAGTAACGATAAGAAACTTAAGAATCTAATGAATACTGATGCTTTCACCCTCCTAAATTACTGTTCATATTTCTGAAAAAAAATTAACGTTTTATAAAATTTGAGTGATAAATTAATTCTTATGTTCGTTCAAGAATTTGGCATTCTCAGATGTTTAAATACAAACATATTATGTAGTGCATACATACTTTTAAAATATATGATCTGAAATTTGCAATAAAATTAATAAGACAGGATTTCTGAAATAGATTTTTTGTTACTATTCGCATTCATTCTAAATTAACAAGTACCATTTAGTTGACTGAGTGATTATGGTCAAGTGGTAAGAAAGAGAAGATGAAACACTAACATATTTCAGTTTCGATCCACTTACTACGCGAAACTAAATTAAAGTTATTCTTGATCACCTAACACGGATGATATTTACAGAGTAGAGTTTAGCTCCAAAGCAACATGGAAGCTCATCCGTGTTGAGCAAGTAAAAGTTGATACAAAGGAATCTGGTTTCCCTACAATACTCCTCGATTTTCTTTTATGGTTTGGATAGCTGTTCAGAATAGGCTCCTCACATGTGACAGGATCCTAAACTGGAACATAGCCGCATCAACAGCATGCAGCCTCTGCTCCGAACCGCTGGAAACGCGTAACCACTTATTTTACAAGTGCAAATTCTCTGACGAAGTCTGGAAAACCCTCACTTCAAAACTACTGTATATAAGTTATACAAATGATTGGGAAGAGATTGTGCGGCTTCTAACTGAACACACATGGAACTCGACCCGCCTTTTCTTGATTAAGTATGTTTTTCAGGCAACTCTTACTACTATTTGGAAGGAGAGAAATGGGAGAAGACATGGAGAGAGTTTCAACAACCCTGCAACCCTAATCAAAGGCGTAGACAAAGTAGTACGGAACCGTCTGTCCAGCTTATATCTCATGGGAGTCACCAAGCACACCAAAGCCATGGAAACATGGTTCAAAAATATTTTCTTTACTTTATTTCTAATCCATCTCGGAAACTTAAAAACCATCTATTTCATGATGCAATCTTTGTAAATAAATTTTTTCATGAATAAGTTTAACATTCATTAAAATTTTTTTTTATTTTATATCACGAAGGCATGTGTACTTTGTATTTGGATTATGGAATATATGTTTCTGCTGTCAAACACCAAATTATTTTCCTTAAAAATTCAAAATTACAGTATAAATTAATATTCTATAAATTAATATACACTAGATTTTGTTATAAAATAATATAATTTTATAATTTTAAATTAAATTTTTGGTTCCTTTAATATATCGATAAATTAATAATCTGTATAAATTTAAAAAAAAATTATAGTTTTGGTTAGTTCCAAAATTAGTTTATAGAAGTTGCTACAAAAAAAATGTTAAGCAAGTTAGCAATATACATATATGAATCATTGTGTTCAGCTAGACAACTTAAATCATACATACAAATTAAAACCTAGGAGAATTCACCATTCAAAGTAGTTTTTTTTTTTTGTAAACATGTTTATGGAGAACCCAAGTTCAAAGTAGTTGGTATCCTTTTTTTGGTAAACATCTTCAAAGTAGTTGGTATCCTTTTGAACCCAAGTTCTTTTACAAAGAGAAATGATAAGTGATACCAATGCATTATTGTTTCCACGAACATACATAACAAGTTTTATAAGTGCAATATTTGGTAGCATGTGCGTAGTTTATACCGATGATTATATGAGATAATCAATCATTGGCAAGCACTACTTTACGTACATATTTATTTCTTAAAACCATCTTTTCGTATTTAGGCTTCGAATGGGTAACGCAGATAAAAAATGCATATCCAACAAAAATACAGATTAAACAGAACAAATGCAGATCATATAGATCAAGCAAAACAAATGCATATCAAATTATTTTAATAAATTATTCTATTTAAATAAATATTAATTTTTTAATGAAAATTAACTATTGAAATATAATGCAACTGATTATAAAAAATTAGTAAATATCATGTTGACAAAAATATTAATAAATATCATCATTTTAGTAAGTATAATAAAATTAAAATTCATATAAAAACTAATTACAGTTACAGAAATTATAAAAAGTATTCTTATTTTGTTTATTTTTGTATCTTTATTCGATTTGGGTTCTTTCTTACCATTTGGTTCAACTATAGAACTAATATTGTCATTTTTTATCTATATTATTGTATCAACAAAACTTTCATTTAAATTTTCAAAATATAAAATGTATAAATGTATATACAAGAACAAAAAAATATGTTTGATATTTCATTGATATTAAGTATCTATAAAATTATATGCTGTTAAATTATGAATTATCAAATATGAAAGTATATGCATAAATTTGTTAAACGAATTTATATGAAATATTAATTACGTTTTGAATATATGATAAATGAGTTTTATTAATCATATATTTTAAAAGGATAAAAATATTAAAATGTAATAATTTATAAAAAATATTGGTTATTTAAGTTATATTACTTATTATCAAGAATAAAAATAAAACGAACCATGGTTTATATGTTTTCTACCAATGTAAATATTATTTATTAGTGAAGTTAAAGATGATATAAAATACATTGTTTATTAAAAATATTTACATGTGTATAATATATATGTTGTACACAAATTAAAAATTTATTGAAATTATTAGTCATAAAATTTAACTTATCAGTAACATAATTTTTTCATAATTTATTAAATTAACTAATACAAAACATATTTCGATTTTTTAAAACTATTAATGATTTTATTTGTGTTAATTATCAATGACAGTAAAAATAAACTAGAACCTACAAGTTTTCTTTTTATCTAACTATTACTTATATTTTTCTCTATCTTTTGAGCAAGAAAATGAATGAAAAAAATTGGTACTAAATTATATCATGGTAGTATAATGAACATTAGGAACAACAATAGAGAAGTATCTCTCTCTAAAATTTCTCCAACCTCTTTCTAAAAAAACACCAACTAAGATTTCCCGCCTCCGGTGGCCTTCTGCCGCCGGTCACCATACGCTTTAGATTTTGTTTTTTATGGTTGTATATATTCTTCGGTTTCGTCAGGCGAACTTTTTTTTTTCCGGTTGCAGATTCTTCTTTTCGCAAGCCGACTTTTTATGTGTAAGTGAACAAAGAAGTTTTATCAATCCAACCTTTGCTCTGTTTTATTCTTGACCGTACAATAAATATCTGATCTTGAAGATCGGTTAAAACAAAGCTTCCTCTTTTTAAAATTTTTATCCCGGCTGTTTTCTTCAGATTTCATCTTATTTATGGTTATCCTCAACTTTTTTTCCTCTAAAGATATCAATTTTTGCTTTATATATCTCAGGCAAAGTATTCTAAAGAGGCAAATCTTTGAGTTTTGCTTGATGACTTCGCGGTTTGAGGCCAGTCTAAGAAGAGTCAGAGCTTGCTAGTTTGCAAGTGTTTTGGCGAGGGCTGTCTTTGAATCGATTGAAGTTACTAGGAGAGTCTCACATCCGGCAAAGAGATCGGAGATCCTTGGTAGCAGAGGCGCATAGAGAGTTAAGCATAGTATGAGTTCGCGAAATGGCTAGATTGTTGAGAAGAAGCATCAATATTGGGTATAGATCAACACAAAAGAAATCAAGACTGAGCGGTGGCGGAAATTGCAGTGTTTGCATGATGGCTGCGTGGATACCGTGTGTCTCTGGAAACCCTAATACCAAACACGTGTCTTATTAACGTGTTGATTATATTTATAAATGGGCTTTCATTGTAAATTTTATTTACTGTTGTTATTGGGCCTCTGAATTTTAAAGCCCGACTCAATGTAAACATGTCTTAAACTGTTATAATAAAATTTGGTCGACAAAAAAAAGTATAATGGACATTAAAATTGATGCTATTTGAAATTCTCAAAATGGAAAATTCCAAAACATGTTTAGACAAGAAACTCATCAATAGCTTAATTTTGTAAGCATATTAATCAAATATCAAATACACTATCATATAATCTATTCAGTTACATATAAGATCAACTATCTATAACATATGCAATATTGATGAATCCCTTCTCTAATAATTCTCCCACAATGCATTTCTTCCCATAATATTTGGATCGGCAAACGATTCTGTAAGATATCTTCAATAGACATGATTTCTCCACAACA